CACAGCCACTCCCATCTGTTCACCTACATACAGAGCTGCTTCCACCCTCACTGCAGGGGCAGGTCTGGGTATCTGCAGCAAGACCATGGCACCTGCAAAGCCTAAAATACAATCTGGCTCTTTTTAAAAATGTTTGCCACCCCCTGATCTGGAATCACATAAAGCCACAATGGCAGGGCTTCTAATATGTAGCTCCCTAACTTCTTGAGAAAAAAAACCACCGTTTAAATTCAAGTCACAATTCTGATAAGCCCAGTCATACATGAATGTCACCCAGGATAATCCTTCTCTCTGTCGGTCAAAGTCAAGAGCATGCCTTACAAAGATACTCAATGCGGGCACTTGATAAACTCTTTGCAGCTGAATCCGGGCACATGCAGTTATTTACGGTATGGTTACTAGTACGTTTCTTGCATAAAGCTATAATTGACAGCAATTCACCTACAAAGAACACCTCAGGCAAAACAGGCACACGTGGTGACATTCACCCCATTATCAATCACTTTTGTGGCACTATTTATGGATACATAAAGCAAATATTAACAGATCTGAAAAGACAGACAAAAATACCTCAAGCGTAGGGGACTTCAGTACCCCAATTTCTGGACAGAAAACTGGTAAGAAAACAGGGTACTCTGTGCACTTCAGACCAAATAGACCTTACAGACATACAGAACATCGCACCAGAATACGCATTCTTCTCAATACACACACAGAAAGTTTTCCAGGATAGATGGCATGTTAGGCCAAAAAACAAACCTTAGTAAATTTTAGGAGACTGAAATGATACCCAGTACCTTCCTTTTTTTTCTTTCAATTGAGACAGAGTCTCACTCTGTCACCCAGGCCGGAGTATAGTGGTGCAATCTCAGCTCACTGCAACCTCTGCCACCCGGGTTTCAAGCGATTCTCATGCCTCAGACTCCCAAGTAGCTGGGAATACAGGTGCATGCCACCACGCCCAGCTAATTTTTTTGTATTTTTAGGAGAGACAGGGTTTCACCATGTTGGCAGGGCTGGTCTCGAACTCCTGACCTCAGGTGATCTGTCTGCGTTGGCCTCCCAAAGTGCTGGGATTAGAAGGGTGAAGCACCGTGCCTGGCCTCAAGTATCTTTTCTGACCAGAGTGGTATGAAACAAGAGGAATCTTGGAAAATCCACAAGTTTATGGAGATTAAACAATATGATCCTAAATAACTATTGGATGGAAGAAAAAAAATCAGAAGAGAGATTTCGAAATATCTTGGGAAAAACAAAACTAGAAACACAAGACACCAAAACTTACGGATGCAGCAAAGGCAGTTCTAAAGGAAAGTTTATGGCAATAAACGCCTATGTTAAAAAAGAAGAAAGTTCTCAAGAAAAACTAATGTTGCACCTGAAGGAACCAGAAAAAGATCAAACTAAACCCCAAATTAGCAGAGGAAGGGAATAGCAAAGATCAGAGCAGAAACAAATAAAATAGAGACTAGAAAAACAATAGAAAGATAAACAAAACTAAGGGTTCTGAAGACAAACAAAATTGACAAACTTTACCTAGACTACATAAAAAGAGAAGACTCAACATCAGAAATCAAAGAGGAGTCATGACCATAACTGATGCCACGTTAAGACACAAAGAATCACAAAAAAAAACTACGAACAATTACGTGGAGATAAATTGGATAACCTGGAATAAACTAATAAATTCCTAGACACATACAACCTGCCAAGACTGAAACATGAAGAAACAGAAAATCTGAACAGAACCATAACAAGTAAGGAGATTGAATCAGTAATAAAAACTCTCCCATCAAAGAAAAGCCCAGGACCTGCTCACTTCACTGATTAATTCTATCAAACATTGGTTAAAAAACAAACAAACAAAAAAAAAAAAAGCTTTGCTATGGTTTAAATATTGGCCCCTGCCATAACTCATGTTGAAATTTAATCCCCAGTGTGGCAGTATTGAGCAGTGGTGAGGCCTTTAAAAGATGATTAGGTCATAAGGAACCTTGCCTTCATGAATGGGTTAATACATCTGTGGCTTAATTAACTAATGGGTTAATGGGTTACCACAAGAGCAGGACTGGTAACCCAGTCCTGGAAGAGAGACCTGAGCTAGCACCCTCAGCCCCCTTGCCCTGTGATGCCCCGTGCAGCCTCAGGGCTCTGCACAGTCCCCAGCAGCAAGAAGGTTCTTACCAGATGCAGCCCCCTGAGCTTAGACATCTCAGCCCCTATAAATATTAATATAAGAAATAAATACCTTTTCTTTATAAATTACCCAGTTTCAGGTATTCTGTCATAAGTAACAGAAAACAGACTAATGCAAACTCCGCCAGAAAGGTGAAGAGATGCAAACACTTTCAAATTCATTTTACAAGGCCAGCAGTATCCTGATATGAGGTCTTTCTCAACGCAATAGTAAGCATTTAAGGCTTTGCAGGCTCCAAGGTCTTCTTGCAACTATTCAAACCTGCCCCTGCAGTGTGGATGTACATGAGCCATGTTCCACTCAAACTTTATGTATGGAACTGAAGTAGGATACCTTCGTATAATGTTGTAAACACAGCTCTTAGCTCACAGGTTGTAGAAAACAGAAGAGGGCATGATCAGCTCATGGGCTATTGTATTTTAGTGCAAGCAGCCTCCTTCTGGACTTGGAACAGTTCTTAACAAAAATCACAGAATCACTAATTGCACAATTTGCCGTGGGTATTCATGGACTCAGAAACCAAAAGTTGGTGTGGATGAAATCTCCCAAAAGAACTGCAGACCATTTCTGGTCAATCAATAACCAGGGTGTGGAGGGGTGAGGAGGAGACTGCACACACCCACAAAAACAGAAGCCTCTGCTTCACACAGCAGAATGGGAAGCACAGCAGAACCGACCCTCACTCTGTTCCCGCCCAGGCTGAGACAGGCCCAGCTATGCTAGAAATTCCTGGCATGTGTGGAAGGAAACGCGCATTCTGCAAAGTAGGCGGATTTCGGCAAGTGTCAGCGATTTCACCCCCACAGTGATGATGACGAACTTCTGTTAACAGGGCCATCAGCAACTTCAAATTAAAAGAGGGCTTATCTCTCAGGGCACAGTGTCTAAGCATTTCCAAAATGGTTTGCATGGCACCAGAAGGGGGCAAGCAATTAGCAAATCACTTCTGAGAAGTTTCAACGTGTTCCCATGAATTCCAGTAACAAGAGCTGTCCAGAAAGCCCAAAGTTGCTTAGGGAAAGGGTGCATTTTAGAAAGCTCTAGGCGGTCCCCACTGGGACCCACATGTTTTACATCAACTCATCATTTCTTTCAATTTCATCAAAAAATGGAAGTGAACAACAACTAAAATGGAATCAATGGCAAGAGTGGCCCTTTGCAAGTCCAGCAACTCCGAGAGTGTTCTGAAGACGTACTGGCAGCAGGTCTGGGTGCGCCCTAGAACCTGCACTTTCCACAGCTGTCCAGGTGTGCTGCTGGGCCCAGGCCCAGGCTTAGAGCAGCCTGCTGTGTGATCCTAGGCAATCATGACCCATCAATATCAGACTCGCTATATCCAAATCACCACACCAAGCCTGAAAAGCATAGCTTGTTTTAATTAACAAGAATTGTAATTATTTAAAAGTCTGTCTGTCTCTGTCTCTGTCTCTGTCTCTGTCTCTGTCTCTCTCTCTCTCTCTTTTAGTTTGCACCAAAACACAATTTGGTTGGAGGATCCATAATTTTAACATAATACTTGAAAAGATCAGGTTAATACAGACAATTTGGAAAGAGTCCTAATGGGTGTACCTATCCATCCGGGGGTATAATATGATCAAATTAGATGTGAGGAAAGAGAGAACACCCGAGAGAAGCAAAGAACATCTATGTGCCCTGATGGACGTGTCCTGCACATCGAATGGTAGCTGTAAACAGCGTCCACAAGCCAGCCGACATTAGTGCTTTTGCAGAAAACATATACTAACAGTCTCATATAACTCAAAGGGACGCTTCTTTCAAACTAAATTCCATAATACAATGGATTTCTGTCCAGTTCTTTTAGTGTGAAAGAGTCTGGAAGAAAAGAAACACTTCTATCTTGAACCGTGAACACCTCCTAGATACTTTATGGTCCTAAGAATGCTTTGTCGAACATGTAACAGAGGGAGCTGCCCCTTAACGAACAGAGACCCCAGCCCACTGGCGACATCCTTTCCCAAAGGATTCCTCCCTGACTCAAGGTGTGACTGGCATAAGAGCTTTTCTCTAATAGTAAGTTTCTGGTGGGAGGGTAAAGCTTCACACACTTATCCCTCAGTAAGTTTGCTTTCAGTCCAACCCTTTTCAACACTAATCACATTTCAAAAGCAGTACAAAGCAGCTGAGAAAACTGGGAATTAAGAGGAAAGATCCCAGGAGGTGGGAGGAGGAGGCATGGAAGGACCCTGCAGCAGCCAGGAGGAGGAGTGCCCGCCAGCATCCACCTGGGTGCTGGCACCCACCGGGCCTGGCAGGGCTGACACACAGGCAGTCCCGGACACTCTGTGAAGATGCACAGGCCACGTCTGCACTGCGATGGCTCTGTGTGGAAAGGACCATGTGTTCACTGCACTGACATCATGCCATCACCTAGTCCATTAACTGACTACCGTAACTCAGACGGCATGGAAAGTCTGGCACGTTCCATCTGAAAAGTGCGCTGCTCTTCTGAAAAGGAAGGTTTTCCGCAAAAAATACAATTCAATAAAAATGAAAGGATTTGCTCTCCTAACCATGGTCGATAGTTCCAAATGTCCAGCTACACATTCAGGGACCCCAATCCTATAAATTCTAAAGCCAAACTTGGGGAGGTGTGACAACTCTTTGCTTTTTTTTTTTTTTTTTTTTTTGGTAGTTGTCAACAAAGTTGTTTATATATATATATATATATATACACACACACACACAGTCACATTCCAGTGTGACAAATACTCCTTCACCAGGAGAAAGCACTACCACTCTGGGATCTTGAAGACTCTCTACCAAGAGCCTAGGCCTGGCAGTCTTCACAGATGACACCCAACAGGGGGCACTTTTATTCAAGTGGGGAGGGGTGGGGTGTAGCCCAAGGTGTATACTGACTGGGACCTCACGCGGGCCCAAAGCTCTGCTGCACCCTCTTCATCAGCTCTTCATCCTGCATAGACAACTCTGTCAACTTTTTGCCCATCCACTCATGGATGTCCAGGTACTTAGACACACATCGGTCCAGGCACAAAGACTCGCCCTTGGACAGCTCTGCTTCCTTGTAGTGAGGAGACACACACCTCCAGTGGCAGGCACTGGTCATTCTGTTGTACATACTGGCCATGATCTCCATCTCCTGCTCTGCAGCCAGCTGTTGGGCCCTGAGTGGATCCATCTCGGCCTAGCACCCTGGAAGGGATCTCCTTCTGGCCTCCTAATCCACTACCTGGATCACAATGCCCATGGAGACCCCAGCTTCTCACAAATACTATAATGTTACCCCTTTGTTTGCTTCTTTAAAAGCAAGTAGGAAAGCCTAAAGACAAATCCATGAGAATCACGTCACACTGGCTCAAAGCAGAAATGTGCTCAGAGGCAGCACTGGTCTCCATCTCAACTCCAAGGGCTGATGCCCCGCGAGACCCCTGAGGGTGAGAGGTGGGCACGCTCACCCTGCAGTGAATGACAACCACGTGCTGGGGGTCGCTGTTCAGCCAGGACTCCTGCGCCTTGCATATGGTACACATCTTATCCAGGGGCGGTGCGTGGAGCTCCGGCCAGCCCACATCCATGATCTGCAACGAGAGGGGAGCTTCCTCAGTTTCCATTTCCTGAAACCTCCGAGGCCATTTCACAATGGCTTCTTTCGTCATCAGCATATTTCATTTGGGGAGTAAAGAACATGCTGCAGGCCGGGCGCGGTGGCTCAAGCCTGTAATCCCAGCACACTTTGGGAGGCCGAGGCAGGTGGATCACAAGGTCAAGAGATCAAGACCATCCTGGTCAACATGGTGAAACCCCGTCTCTACTAAAAAATATACAAAAAATTAGCTGGGCATGGTGGCGCGTGCCTGTAATCCCACTACTCAGGAGGCTGAGGCAGGAGAATTGCCTGAACCCGGGAGGCGGAGGTTGCCGTGAGCCAAGATCGCGCCACTGCACTCCAGCCTGAGTAACAAGCACGAAACTCCGTCTCAAAAAATAAAAATAAAAAAATAAAAGAACATGCTGCATGACCCTTTCCTAAAACTCAGTGAGCATCCGTCACTGGGAAGAAAAAAATAAAGCATTACACTGCCCATGTGATGCCTCTTCTTCCAGGGGCTCATCTGCTCTTCCACAGCTGGGGCGACAATTCTAGAAAGGTCTTTGGGGAGCTGCTGATGGTGCAGGTTGTGTGAAGGGGGCCGAAGTCCAGTGAGATCTAAAACAGGAGTCCTAGCCCAAGCTGCAATCCCCCTACTCAGGTTAAAATACCAATTTGGAGAGTGCAGCCAGCCATCTCCCACATGCTGCGCAGAGGCAAACTCCTGGAAAGGCAGGACTGAAGGAGGAAGCACCTTCAAACCCCTGATTAATTTTAGTGCATGGACAAAGAAAATCACGACCATGTACTAAGGTCACAGCAGATCTGTGCAGAACTGCAGCTCTGAGCGTTCTGACGCACATGCAAGTCCACAGTGGCCCACAGTGGCCACAGGGGGGCGTTGCTTTTCCGTTGATTTCCTTTTGCCAGCAGGGGGAGGACAAAGAGCTCTAACTTATGACGAAAAGTCGCAGAAACCGTGTAAAATCTTAGGAAATTTCAGAACACTCCAGGAAATAGGAAAAGTCACTACCCCTACCACCAGTCAAAGATAACCAACCACTACAACCTTTTCGTGAATCCCTTTCTATGTACATTTAGCATAACTGAGATACATATATTATAAATTCTATACTATTGTTAACTAGTATTGAAATGGGCAACTTATGATTCTGCTTTTTTATTCTAATGGCTGCAAAGTATTTCAACACATAGAATATACATACATATATGTATGTATGTATGTATGTATGTATGCTGACTCAGTCTTAAAATTATTCTCCCAAATTTTGGTATTGAAAATGATCATGGAGGGTTGGGGGAAGGGGAGGGACAGAATTAGGACAAATGCCTAAACCATGAGGGGCTTAAAACCAAATGACAGGTTGATAGGTGCAGAAAACCACCATGGCACGTGTACACCTATGTAACAAACCTGCACATTCTGCACATGTATCCCAGAACTTAAAGTATAATAAAAAAGAAAATGATCATGGAAAGAGTGAATGACTATGACCATAAAGAGATACTGGAAGAGATCCCCGTGCTGATGAAAATGTTCTCTCTCTTATCTGTGGTGGCTGAACAAACCCATACATATAATGCAGTTTAAATTTGTTCTGTTACAGTAAATCTATAGTATACATATATATACACACACACACACAGAATATATATATGTACACACATAGGACACACATACACACACGCTGGGATTACAGGAATGAACCACCATGCCCGGCCAATACATTTATTTTTAAGGTTAATTTGTTCAAATCAGCATCCAAACAATTCCCAAGGATCTCTTTTTCCTCTATCTTATTCATCTGACATGAATTTAAGTCCAATTCAAATGTTTTCAACACTGTTCAAACAGAAATAAAGCACCACCCACGGTGAAACTCTATTTCAAACTAAAAAAAAAAGTAATTAAAAAAATATATAAATATGCATTACATATGGAAGATCCCAGGAAGTGGGAGGAGGAAGCATCATGTGTACAGATTTGTTCTATAAATACATACATGCAGTATATATCATCTACACATGTGATGCCTAGAAACACACATGTACGCAAAAACTTCACATGTGAGTGAAGTCCATAGACTGCACCAGCTCCAACTTCCTGGCCTAGGTATTTTACTATTAGTGTTGTAAGATTCTCCCACCGGAAAGACTGGGTGAGGAGTACAGGGGATCTCTGTATTATTTTCACAACTTCCTATGAATCTCTAATTATTTCAAACTAAAGAAAAAGCAATTAAAAAATTGATATGAACAATTCCTAGTATCCCTTATCAAGTCACAGTCCACAAAGACTAGTAGCAAATTATCTTTGCACAAAATAAGCATTGTTTACATTTTACAAAATGCAGACTATGGAGGGATGAACTCCATACCTTCGGGTTAAGCTTCGTAAGGTCATATCTCTTTTCCGAAAGGTTTAATACCTATAAAAGAGAAAAACGCCTTGCATAAAACAGATTTTAATATTTTTAAAAATTAACACTTTAACTTTTTAAAAAATACTTAAAATCTTTACACTCAAGAATCGGGGTGGGGGGGAAGTTTTTATACAAATCACTGACGTCATAGATGAAAGGAGAAGCCACCATTGCATTTTGACATGACGTTTGCCTTCCAGGTACCGAGGATCAGAAAAGATTGAAAAGTACAGACATGTGTGTTGTCACAGAATAGAAAGCAAATAAAATAAGTTAGGGATGGCATACAGAGCCCTTACATATAAAGGCTATATTCTACTTCGTGAAACAGCATTAAACCAGGCAATTTACCATGTCACTTTTTTTTATTCTCATGGCTACAAAACCTCCCAACATACAGGATACATATACATATGTATATATGTATACATGGATGCATATACATGCGTGTGTGTGTGTGTGTGTGTGTGTGTGTGTGTGTACAACAGCTTCCCTGGTCTTGCTCCTGGCAACATAAACTGACCCAACAGAGAGATGGCACATGGTGAGGAGGGCAGTCCCTCCTCTGTGGCCTAGGGTGCTCAGGCCCGGACAGGGATGAGTTCATGCCCAGCCAAGAGCCATGTCCTAAGTTCACTGAAAAATCACAGCTGTTTGTGGAACCTTCCTAAATACTCAAGTAGAGCAAAATGGAAAATAATAATAATAATGTTCCAGCAGCACAGAGCCTTAAAAATTAGCTAAACGTCCCTCTCACTTCAGAGTCAGAGACGTGAGGATGGAGGCTTGTCCACACCCAGGTCACAGTAAGACGGGCTTCAAGGGGAGAAGAGCAGGAGCCTGAGTGAATGAAGGGTTGGGGGTGAGGGGTCAGGACACAGGAAGCACCTGGCCAGGGCTGCTCTTGCATCAGATGGTGGCCACATCCTACTCTGCCACTTGGGTAAACTTCTCCCAGCCAGTGGTGCCCCAGTCATTGGAGCAGACACACAAAGAAGATAGTGACTGCCTTGCAGGCTTTCGGGGCAGATTAGCTTTACTACAGATAAGGAGGCAGGTAAGAGAAGGTACCAAGGAGCTGTCATTCAACCCCATCAGTGACCGCTGACAGCAGAAGAAGCCAGCCTCCGCTGGGGCTAGCAACCATGGGAACAGAAAACAAGGGCCCAAGCGGAGGGCAAGAGATGGTGAGAGGCTGCTCCGTATTCTTCCTCAGCTGTGGGCTCCACCATCAACTCGACACATGTGTTTTGAAAATCGACCTGTCTCCTTGCCTGCAGGGCAGTCCCTGGTTTCTTGGGCACCCACCTAATGTGTCTTCCTAATTTCTTGCTGAAGAGGAGAGTCACAGGTTTGCCTTTTGATATCAGGGAGGCAGCATGGGAGCGCAGGGGTGGCCGGCTGGGGACATGTGCCCAGGCACTGGGGAGCCAGCCTCACTGATAAGTGCAGGACGAGGCAGCGGTCATCCCTACGGTTAGCTGTCACGTGTCCCTGAAAGCTACCTACAGCGATACATGAGGCTCCTCTCCAGGCATAGCAGCAGAGAGACAGAGGACCAGGGCACCCTGGGCTGCTGTGTGGACAGAGGACCAGGGCGCCCTGGGCTGCTATGTGAGCCCACGCTCTCCAGCTTCTCCCTCGTGAGTAAACCAGGGCTCTGCAGATGCCTGTCCCCTCAGAGTGCCTGCTGCACAGCCTGCCCAAAGGCTCCCGCCCACCGCTCACCAGGTAGTTGTCCCCGTGCTTAGACTTGAGCATGCGTGTGACCTCCTGCAGGTTGTGTAGGTAGGACTCCTCGGAGCAGCCGGCAGGGAAGGACACAGCGATGATGCGCTCCGTGATGTAGGTGAGGTCCAGCCCCTGGCCCTCCTCCATGGTGGGGCTTAGGACGATGGGCCTGCGAGAGAGCAGTGGGCAGGTCAGAAACGGGGTAAGGAGGCAACAGACACTCATCCTCTGGAAAAAGGAGAGGACAACAGACACTCATCCTCCAGGTGTTCACACCAGCACCTGGGCGGCAGGTGGTGGGAATTTACAGTGTGTGCCGTCTCTGCGCTGTGTTCCCATAATGGCGGGCAGTGCAGGGAGGGGCACAAGATAGAATTTTCCCGCCTCTAGCAGGGCATGACTGGGTACTGCAAGCCGCAGGCAGACAATACACAGAGAGAAAGCAGCTCAGAGCAGTGATGCCTGGGCTCAGATGCAAAAGCACCAAGGTGGTTTCACTGGGAGCAGAAGTAGGGTCCCAGGCGGGACTCCAGCAAGGGGAGCCTCAACCCCATTGCGAGGTGTCAAGGTTGGCCTGAGGCAGCCGGGAGGAAGCGGGGGTGGTGTGAGCAGAAGCCAAACGTCAGCAAGCAGCTCCTCCTATCTGTGTGCAGCATCCTGGGGTAGGTGCGGCCAAAATGAGGC